AGACCTGACAAAAAGTGACCCGATCTGTTTTTGACCCGAAACCCGACCTGAAAACACTGGGTTTTGAACAAAGGTTTTGATGACCGAACCCGAAGTTGACCGAACCCGAAATGACCCGCTAAAAATGGGTCAAACCCGACCGAACCCGAACCCGACCTGACCGACCCGCTAAAGTAAGAATTTTTCAAAATTGTACACTTTTTTACTCGTTTTTAGTGTATAAATTTATATTTTCAGACAAAATTTTAATGATATTGCATAATTATCTTACTTTTTCCCCAAAACATAAGCATTTTTAAATTCCTTATATTNATATTGATTTTTATATCTAAATACTACTTTAGAGTTTACAATAAAATAATTTTATAGATTTAATACTTTTTTTTGATATTTTAAATTTATTAATGTGAATTTAAAAATTTAAATAACCAAAGTCATAACCCGTTGGGTCGACCCGAACCCGATGACACTGGGTTATGAACATAGAGTTCTCAACCCGAACCCGAATTGACCCGAACCCGAAATAACCCGAACTTGAAGTGACCAAACCCGAACCCGACCTGACCGACCGATTTGCCAGCTCTAATCACATCAAAGGACAATTTTGAAAAGTCAACACCAAAATACACTCTCCTTAAATCCTCAAAAGATCAAAACAAGAACTTTTTTAAGGGACCCGGGAGTAATTTAAGACCAAATCCTCCTATATACAATGCTAGGTGGATTTCTCCGTAAACAGTGTTCCCGCCTAAACTAGGTGGACCTTGCTGCGGTTTTGGGCCTGCATTGGTTGACGGAATGGGCCTGCATTGGTATACGAAAATGGCGTGCTTTGGTGTCTATTCGAATCTCCTTTTTTGCTTTATGTCCACTCATTACAATCTTCCATAAAGTTACATTGATAACATAAATTTGGTGGCTCCATAAAGGTGGTTTTAAAAATAACTTACTTTGTGTCACTTCAATCTATTTTAAAGATTTTTAAAATCCTCCTATATACAATGATAAGAGGAGCTTATGAATCGGTGTGCAAAGTACTTGAGTGTGCTTCATTGAAATTCAAATTAAAAAATAGATGTTGTGTGGCTCAATACTTTCTTTTCCTAAAAAGACGTGATTTACTTTATGTCAAATTATGGATCTACAAATCTTTTATTGGGACATGTGTTTTATACTTTACAGCCTATATGTGTACTTATTCACTAAAAAGTCATTGTTAAGCGTGTAAAGTGGATTTCCAAATATTTTAATTAATGTGCCAACCAACTCTTTCATGTAGTATAAATAAAATGCAAATGCAATACAACACAACTCATTCACTGCGAAATGAGTACTAAGCAATCCAGACGACGGTTGAGGTACTGAGGAGGTGTTATTTTTGCATTTCTCAAAATGTATGGCTTACTAAAGAATTACAATGTCAAGTCATTAATTTTGTTTTTGGGATTTTTTTAAAGAGTGGTGAGCATAAATATGGTCAGAACCAACCTTTATTTTTCAGAATAATCTTTAATATTGCATCAAATATTAAAAATAGGTCAGAAAGACTGCATACATCAATGTTTCAAGCAAAGCAGTTTCGTAGTGTTGCAGTGAAGAAAATTTAAAATCTTGATTCCAAATATGATTAAATGACTTTGGCAATGATTAAGAGTCTTTTTTCAATACGCCATAAATTAGAATAGGTATGGAAATGTGTCAAAAAATGAGTTTAAATGCAAAATTTTATACATACTGCTAGGATTTTTTTCAAATCAAAGTATAAAAAATGAGTATAAATATCTACCGTTGTTTATAAAAGACCCACACAAAAAATTATCCAAATAATAAATCAACCAAAAAGGTTTGATAAAGGGGTTTTTCATCATATATGAGAAACGATTTGAGCAAAATGATTTGAAATAAAAGAAGAAAACAAATGAGACTAGAGCATAAGATCAAGGCATGAAAAAAAACTAAGCTGTGACAATTCTAAAAAAAATACTCCCTCCGTCCCCCAATTTTTGTCCACTTTTGACTTTTAGAACTGTTATTTAAGCACTTTGACTCATCAAATTCTCTCAATATGTAAGCCTAAATATAGTCATGTGTGATCTTGTTTGATTTGTCTTAACATATAGATTATTAATATATAATTTCTATAATTTTTTAATATACAAATTACAAGATAAAATGGATTAAAGAAGTGCATTGGATAGTGTGTAAAAATGAAAGTGGACAAATACTATGGGACGGAGGGAGTAGTGACATAAAAAAATACAGTATGTTTAAAAAGCAATATAACGTACCCTAGGGTCCAAATAAGATGACGGGAGACCTTATATCTCTGCACATCTCGGACAAAAGAACAACTGGGTTCACAGAATCAAGTTACACAGATCATGTCTAGATGAAAATATTTGTTGCAACTTAATTATTTGAAGCAGTTTTTGTGTTTCTGCGAATAGATCCAAGAAAAAGAGAGATAAGTTTTAAAAATACAAAAACTAATAGGGTATTATTAGATCTGAGAAAGGTGTATAAAAAATTCACTAAAAGATTTCAAACAAAATAGATTTTTATCTAACAAAACCATTATTTTAGCTATTGCGTAGTTATTTTTAGAAAATTTAGTTAAGAATAAATACTTGATTTTGCATTGAAATAGGATACAGGGCGTGAAAGAGACAATAAATAACACTGAAATCGTGAGATCTAAACATCCATACATAAACATTTTTTATTGTT